GTAATTATCCTAATTATCAGTGTGAGAGATACAATTTGTAAATTAAGAAAATATATAATAGTATATTTTCTTAGTGTTGAATTGTATTTTTGATGTCTATAAAAGTAACGAGTATATGTCAACACGAGTGTGAACGATACTCAATACAACTATGTATATTGAGTTAATACTCAAAATCGTCCTCGACTATAGTTGTTTTTCTCAATTTCGTCCTAAACGACTTTAGTGACCTAATATCGTCCCAGACTTTTGTGTTTCGCTCAATTTAGTCCCAGACTTTTGTGTTTCGCTCAATTTAGTCCCTCGTTTGTTATTCTGTCCATTTGGTGTTAAATAAATAGACAATTCAGTAATTTTAATATTGGCATCTCTTTACTCATAGACATGTGAACTGCGAAATCCTTTTTTTTTTACGAATTACTCTCAGAATTACTCCTAAAACTGCGAATATAAAATTTGATTTGCAGGTCCGGGAGTAATTCTGGGTGTAATTCGTACAAGAAAGAGAAATTTCGCACTTCACAAGTTGAAAGTAAAGAGAGATCAATATTGACATTACTGAATTGTCCCTTTATTTAACACCAATTTGACGGAATAACAAATGGAGGACTAAATTGAGCGAAACACAAAAGTCTGGGACGATATTAGGTCACCAAAGTCGTTTAGGACGAAATTGAGAAAAACCACTATAGTCGAGGACGATTTTGGGTATTAACTCTATGTATATTTACATGATTTGTATTTGACACTGTAGTGATAAGGTTTGTTTGATGAAATTTTTATATTATGTGAACTTTTACAATTATTTAATTTAGAAAAACTCTACCCACGGAACGGACTTGTCAATCAATCAACAACATATTTATCATCTCATATTCTCATGATATAATGATATATACGAGTTGGCATGGAACTGTTCTTTGTTAGTAAAATCTGATAGAATTATACAAAACTTCCCAATTTAATAAAAATTAACACTTCTAAACAACGTAATTGATGAGGGAAATAAATTGCAATGCAATTATAATCAAATTACATCCAACCAGCCTATAGCTCCATGTATAAGGTGTAAGAGACATCTCAATATTCATGACACACATCAAAAAAATTTACATCCAACCATAAATAGCCACTTAGGATTTCTCTGTTCCTTGTTAAGACTACTATTTATAGCTTTATTTATTTATTAAAAAACTAATAGCAACACATCACATTAATATTTGATGAAATTGTAACTGTTGAAAAAATTACACTATTTGTTCCCAACTTATAAGGTAATTGTAGGATTAGTTCCTACTTGATCATTTCACTTCTTATCCTAAGTTATAATTGAAGTTCAAATTTCATTCTTTTTCTAACCGGATGTGTTCACTTCTTGTCTCTAAACTATAATTAACGTTACAAATTTCATTCTTAACGTTTTGTTAGAAAAAAAATTGACAAAATTTACAATGCCAGTTATAGTTTATGAACAAAAAGTGAGCGCAATCAACAAGTATGGACGCATCTTACAATTATCTTATAACTTAGAGATGAAAAATATAAAGAGTTTTAAATTTAAATTTTCATTGGTTTGAATATTCTTTAAAATTCAGGAACGTATTCATTAGGCGTTGAAAAAAGTAGTCGTGCAAATAATGAGATGTAGTCCGTAATTAAGAGGACGTACCTATATTTTCAAAAAAAAGAGGACGTACCTATATAATTATATTAGAGTTAATACCCAAAATAGTCCATCGACTATGTCGTAATTACCAATTTGGTTCTCGACTATCATTCTTACCCAATTAAGTCCTCAACTATACAATTTTTATCCAATTTAGTCCTTTGTCAATTTGACTATTTGTTGACTGTCAAAAGTGGAAATAAAGTTGTAATTTTACAAGTTTTCTCCTTCCTCCTTATTTAGCAGCGCCAAACCATGTAGCAATAAGCTCCGGTTGGGTTCTAAACCTGTCAGTATCGAAGTAGTGGTTATGCGTCGGCTAGCCCATGAATTTGATTTCCAACGATTTTTTGACGATGGAAATCTGATCGGAGTGTATTGCTGCATGGTTTGGCGCTGCTAAATGGAGAGGAAGGAGAAATCTTGTAAAATTATAATTTTATCCCGACTTTTGACAGTCAACAAACATTCAAATTAATACAGAGGACTAAATTGGGTAAGAATTGTATAGTTGAGGACTAAATTGGGTAAGAATTGTATAGTTGAGGACTTAATTTAGTAAAAGTTACATAGTTGAGGACTTAATTGGGTAAGAATGGTAGTTGAGGACCAAATTGGTAATTATGGCATAGTCGAGGGACCATTTTGGGTATTAACTCATTATATTATATTGACTAGTTGCCGGTCCGATCCAAAGAAAGTATATTTAGGGCAAGAACGCACATCAAGGAAGATTGACATAACAAATGAGGTTACAAGATCACTTAATTAGTCCTAATTCCTAAATTACCACGTTGAAAATGTTGTAATTTTTGTGCAAGTTATATTATTACGCGTGTGTTGGTTACACACAATTTTATCTCTATATATATAGATGTTATGTGCAATATTTATATATTTTTGGTACATTTAATATAAAATTGAGAATCGAACTTGTGACATTCTAACTTAAAATCATAAATTGGTGCCACTTGACTAGTATAAGTATATATGAATTACTTATAGTCATCTGTTCAATTTTTATTTTTTAAAAATTAATATCATTATTTTAAAAAAAAAATTGAATTAGAATTTCCAAATACTATAGATATCAATATTTCAATATTTACATTATTTTACAAAATTTAAGGACTTTTTTTTTTTTTTTGGAAAAAAAAAATAAAAATTTAAGGATCTTGTTCTTGTATATTGGTTAAACTTCTTTATATATGTAGTTTTTGGACGGGCCGGAAACATTTTCTGTAATTAGGCCTTCAAAAAGAATGCTCAACTACTCATTTGGAGTCCCAAATCATGATTGGGCCTAACTGTCCTCTATACGGCCCATGTTTGCTAACTCAAATGGACTGCTCTAAATGGGAAAATTATATTATGGACCAGGGTCCACAGTGCACTGCGGATCCTGATCCAATACACATAATTTGACTTCATAATGCATATAATTTATGTTTATAATACACAAAATTCATGTTCATAATACACATACACATAAACACGATATAATAAACATGAATTATGTGTATTATGTTAAGTGTTTATGTGTTCTCAGCTATATAGTACAGAATTCATGTTCTTAATGCACAAAATTCATGTTTATTATATCGTGCCTATATGTATGTGTATTATGATATGAAATCTGTATATTATGAACATGAATTCTGTATATTGGACTAGGGTCCACAGTGCACTGTAGAACCTGATCCACGATATAACGATTTCTCTAAATAGCGCTAATCTAGTGTTGATGCTTAACACCAAATTGTACATTATTGCGTATAAAGAGTCCAACTCAAACTTAAACTTTCAATTCGTGCGAGGCATCGGATTTCCACTATACCATTGAAAGCAAAGTCTTAAGTGAGAGTGGGAGACTTATCATCCACTAGACCAATATTTTGGGGTGTTTTTTTTTTTTTTTTTTTTTTTTTTTAGACATAGGGGAGAACAACACAAATAAAGGGCGAGAGGAATAAACTCGTACCTCTTGACCAGACTAAAAACACATAGTCTGAGCTAACAAATAAGTCACATGATTAATTGATCTCTAAACATGATCAAGTATATTATACTTAATTGTATTCAATAATATCATCATTGGTGTTGATTGACGTTGAAAAAAAAAAAAAAAAACCCTATATTTATATTGTCTTGATAATTAAAGGATAATGATCAGTCCATAATAGTCAAGGATGTATTAGACATGTTGAAAAACGCTGGCTAGCTACTTGTCCCTTCCTTAGATTGCTTAAGCAATGTTTAATTTAATTTGGAATTTAATTAGGTGGCTCTAGCTAGCTAGTCATTAGAAAAAAACAATATACACACACATATAACAAATTTTATTATGGTTGCATATAAGACAAAACTTGTATCTCACAATTAGATAAACATCTTCTCGATCTGTTGGTGTTGTTATTATTATTATTATTATTCGTTTTTTATTTTTTAAAATAAATAGAGAGAATGGAGGAACACAGTCAGTCAAGTTATTAATCACAAATTCAATCAAAGAGTCATACTTTACCCACTCAATTACTCATTTCAAAACTTGTCTAATTTGAATATAAGCATACATTTATGGATTTGCATTTGTTGTAACCTAAGCTAAGCCTATAAATGTACAATAGTGAGATGAACTGACCATTATTGTACAACAAATTATACCATGTAATATGGACCAAAATCTCAAGATAGAACTTTAATACATAATTATTTTTAGTATATTGTACATTCATTTTTTTAAGTGTTGTAAATATTTATTTTTAGATAGTTCACTAAAAATGATTTATATGCCAATGATCCATCTTGCAATGTGGGTACTGATTTATAATACGTATAATGATTGTTATTGGCCATATTATACTATGGACCATGGTCCATCTTACATTGTAGACCCTGATTCAAAAATAACTTTAAGATTTGATTTGTATCTAAAGTTGACACATTTTGTATATGCAATTTATAATTTCTGTACCTGTAGCTATCATATTATGTGTCAGTAATTATCAAGTTCAATTCTGTATTTATAGTTGACACATTCTATACCTGTATTTATCATATTATGTGTCAACAATTATCAAGTTATTTGTTTACATGTACATAGACTCTTAACTGTAAGTACAAAATGTGTTAAGAGTTCACAATGTAATGTAGTATAAACATTGGTCCATGGTATAACAATTGTTGTTATTGTACATAGGCCAATGAAGGAGTTCCATAATAAGCCAAAAATAACAAAGCTACAAGTCTATAGAGTGTGCCACGTATATGAATGATGCAGTGTCGATCAAAACATTGGTGTTATTAGACTGCACTCAGCCTCCCAAACACGTACAAGAAATAAGACTGTTGTTTTCTATGATGCTTCATCATTAAATTTTAAGTAATTAAAAATTGAGATTATTAGATTTTCTTTATCTCTATTATTCAAATAATTAAATTCTTTGTCATTGCGATATAGTGTGATGGTAGACTCAATAATTGTGTTGTTAGTGTTACCACTTTCAGATTTTGAATTGTTAGTGAATTAAGGATTTTGGTAGTTCCATTAATACCTAAAATGGTCCGTTTGGTTCACACATGAGAATCGGAATAGAAATGAGAATCAAATATTTGGTAATGATATGAGTCTTGGTAAAAGTGTTTTGCATGTTTGGTAGTATGATAGAATTGAAATGATTATCAATATTGATGTTTGGTTATGTATGGCCGGAATAAAGGTTTTAAAAATACAAAAATAAAAAATCAAAACAATTGATTTTAATATAATGACATCTGAAGCACTAATATGACAAAAAAAAATCAAAACAAAAATCTAAAAGTACTATTCCAAACTTAAAAATCATATTACAAATAAGATGGAACGACCAACCTTTTTAATTAGGGAATGAAGTTTTTAATTTAATAGGTAATCAAATCTCATAGTTTTGTTTTAAAAAGTTGTCAATCAAACACTGACTATGATTTTGATTCTTATTCCTAGTGTGTAAGTCCCAGTGTTGCAAAAATTGCGCCTAAGCGATGCCTGGCCGCGTCTAGGAACGCCGAAATCGGTCTCCTCCGCGCCTAGGCCTAGACCGCCATGGCGGCCGAACCCTGATTTTTATATATATATATATATATATATATATATATATAATTTAAATAAAAAATAAAAAAGCGTGCGCCTAATCTGCGCCTAGGGGCGCATAGCGTTTTTTTAACACTGGTAAACCCATAAACCAAACACAGTACTATTACTTTTCAAAAACCTTAGCTAACCAAGCTAGTGAAACCCATCTTGTAACATACATTAATCGGCAAAAGATCACAATAAGATAAACCATCATAAGTTGTCATAGTTAACGAGCTCAAATCGAGAGCTAGGCGAGGCTAATAATAGGCCTTGCTCTTACAAAGAGGGGAACTTGAAATCGTGTAGTTATGAAGCGTTAGATGAAAATATAAGATAACTTTGTCTGATGTCAAAAAATCAAATTTGTTTAATAATTAATTAACACTATGTACTTATGATTTATCCATTTGATCTCTCCTGTCCCTTTCTTTCCCCTATAAATACCACTGTACGTATCAACACATTGCATTCTCCTCTCTTCTCATCTCATCTATCTCACATGGAGAAATACTCAGAATATTTGATGTGGACGAAGACGAAACACCTTAAACCCAACCTCAAGCAATCATCAATGGAAGAAGACGACGACGATAAGGTGCCGGCATGGCCGCCTAGGTCATACAGTTGCAGCTTCTGCAAAAGAGAGTTCAGGTCAGCACAGGCACTGGGTGGCCACATGAATGTCCATAGAAGGGATAGAGCCAAGCTCAAGCGTAGTTCTAATAACACCATGGCTTCGCCGCCCATTTCTTCTGCTATCATATTTTTTCAGGGGAATTCCGGCGCCGCCGGCGATCAGCAGAAGGGGTGTAAGAGGCAAAGGATTGCCGCCGGCGGCTGCGGCAACACGGTGTCGTCGTTTATGCCGGCCGTGCAGGTGCACAGTGAGGAGGTGCAGGTAGTTGCAGGAATGAGAAGCAAGAATTCATCGTCCATGGAAGACATAGATCTTGAGCTTAGGGTTGGCGTGAAGTAGAAGAAAGGTGGGGAAATAAAACATCTCTCTCATCATCACTGTAGAGCTAGAGAGAGCTAGGTAGGAGAAATTAAAGATCATGTCGAGTAATAGTATTTACTTTTTTTTTTTTAAATATCGGATTGTAATTTTAATATATCTGTTTTTATTTAGTGTTAATCTGATTTTCATGTAACCAACTTGGTTAATGTGAATGTCTGTGCACTCTCATTCATTAACATATGTGTTGGAAGTTTAAAATCCCATTTCGTAAACAAAAAAATAATTATGATCAGCATTTTGCTCCTTAATTGGGCCGGTCCGGTGTGAACGGTTATTTGTACAAGTATAGTACGGGCTTAACCAGTCCTGGTCTTTTTGAAAGGATCCTGTGTGGTTAAAATTTGATAGTACAGTCGAAGGACCATGAGTGATTAATTTGAACCACGAATGATAATAATTTGTAAGTCAGATGACTACAGATAGTCAATTTGAAAGTTTAAGACTAAATTAAACGTGACAAAATTACTATACTCGGAAGACCCCATATGGTATTAACTATTCTTTTTATTATAATGTAAAAAAAAAATTAAGATAACTAGCAAAATTATCCATCAATTAAATGTTAAATCTCTAGAAAATGAAACCTTAATAATCAATCAACCTCACTAGGTAGTTTTGTTTGTTTCTTTTTTTTTTTTTCAATGCAAAAACAATGAAAATGTATACCTCATTAATTGCTGTAGCTTTTGTGTGCCCATTGTCTCTGTACCACCTAAGACATGAGATTCCAAAACATAATTTAAAACTTGATGATAAACCAAACCCAACCACTAACCTTCTGGATAAATGAAAAGAGTTTGATTTTCTTGAATAAAATGTTTATTTTCGGTCTTATTACGACAATTAGACCTTTCTCACATATATTTAGTTCTTAAATATTATTTTTATCACGTATTTAGTGTAAGCCTTTCATTCTTTTGCAACATGTGATCATTTTGACAATTTTTTTTTATTAGAAAACAATAAAAACACATATTCAAAGCTATATATTTTCAAGTTTATATGATTGTAAACCAAATGACATATTCTAACAGTTTTCTATGAAAAAATTGGTCAAAACCATTAAATGTGGTAAAAAAAATTGCACCAAATGCTACAAAAATAACACTTAGGTACCTACTAAAGAAATGACTTAACCGGGGATGAGAACTAGAAATGATTCAGGTAGGTTATTGTTAATGAAGAAATAACCATTAAAGAGTTGTTCCATATAAATTCGATAGCAGTTCAACTCTAAATTAATTAAAATCCAATACAATAACGAACAATTGGCGAGAGAGAATCAAACATATTTAAACAAAAAAAAAAACGTCCCGGCTGGCCTAAAACCTAATAAGTAGCACGTTAACTAGTGTAATAATGGTTTGATTGATATGATGAAGCAAAGCTAAGGTTAGTTGTTGCAGAGATGAAGCGGAAGACACGGCGGCTATCCCTACGTCCCGCATGTTGTTTTCTTCATCCTCAGCTCCTACCTTTATTGTTTATACACACAGTTGATACTATATCTTTATATATATATATACATATAGCTTTTGACTTTGAGTGATGATGAGAATATTTATATATAATTGAAGCTATAGCTATATATGGTGGAAATTGATGTTTACCCAACAAAAATTATGGCAATATAAGGTGGTCACTCGCCATATCTTAGATTCCTTTTTGGCTGTCTTTTATGGCACTCCGGCCAGCCTTCAAACTCTCTTTTCAATTCTTCATTGACAGATCAATTGTGATAAATGGCAGAGATTGAGGTTCATTGTTAATGGCCTGGGGTGCATGACATGACTAAATGGAATGTAGTGGCACCACTTCCGATCCTTTCTAGCTTTCTATTTTTGGGTTGCTCCCCATTTTTTAAAAGGAGATGATATTATGAATTAATGATTTTTTTTTTTTTTATAGTTTCGATCGGTGTAGGTGTTTGCGTATGGTATAAGTGTATAACTGAATATATTGAGTACTATTGGTAGAGTTGTTAAAATAAGCATATCTTATGAGATCAATCTAATAAATGTACCCCAAGTATTGCTACCTCTCGAACCACAATATACATACTTCTTAACCTGAGACATTCATTATGAAAAAATAAAAGTGATGTCATAAAATCACAAGTTGCTCTGTGGGAGTCTGTATGCGCATGCATGGACACCCCTGACTTTTGATAAAGTGGAAAAATATAATGGAGGTCAAATTGATGAGGTGATTGTGGAAATTAAAGGACGAATGAGTATTGAGTAATTAATTGAATTTAGATTTTTCAATTATTGCTACTTTTAGTATATGTGAAGATAATCTCTTTGTGTGGTTTCAATAATTCTCCCTTTGTCTATCACATACATTAGATGCAAGACTTCACTGCTCTGTAATTTGAATAAATGGTTGAGTGTCAATTTGCAATGGTTAGAAGTTCCTTTGATTTCTAAAACAAATGAAAATTTTGTTTGAATTTGATGCAGAAGGATGATGCTTGAAGGTTGATTTTAAGGTTGTATGTATATGGTGGTTAAGCATGCACATTTTCAAGTTGTGTGCAGAATTTAAGTATTCAATATGTTTGGTTTTTCATCAATGAGTGTTATTAGATGTTAACGGTTATGGTTAGACGAATTAGCTGAGGTTTAATAAGTGGAGGTGTTTAAAATAATAGTTAATAAAAGATCTTTTCTTCTTTATAAAAGAAAAAAGATTTTTTCTCGTCTAAGATTATAAAATACTAACTGTATGAGTTAGAACAATAGCAATTGATGAGACCTGGGTCCACATTAAAAGGTGGATTCAGATTCAAAATGCGCGTCTGGAATAATAGTGTCGTTAGCGACACCGTTTTCTCAGATAATGATATTTTTTGTGAATATAAAGTTCAAAAATTGTGAATATAGATTCAAAAATAATGTTATACTATTGAATATAGAGTTCTGTAATTCTGAATATAGAGTTATGTAATTGTGAATATTGAGTTCTGTAATTTTGTATAGAGTTAATTACCAAAATGGTCCTTGACTATAGCGAAATTACCAATTTGGTCATTGACTATTTTTTTTGACCAATTAAGTCCCTCAACTTTAAAAATCTTAACCAATTTGGTCCTCCGTTTGTTTGACCGTTAGTCAACTGTTAACTTGGGACCAAATTGGTAATTCGATATAGTCAAGGGACCATTTTGGTAATTAACTTTAAGGGTCGGCAATTCGGTTCAGTTTTTTCGAATCGAACCGTACCAAACTAGTTAGATTCGGTAATATACCGAACAACCGAACGGTAATAGATTCTTGTATACCGAACGGTTCGGTAAAAACTTGAACCGAACTGAATTGTTCGGTAAAAACTGAACCGAACCGAATACCGTTTGAACTTTGGATTGCTATTTTGTTATATATTAGACTTTGGATATGGACTATGTAAACATCATAACACAGAATATAGAACTTTTGATAACAAACCATAAAGAAATCAAATAAAACATTTACGAGAGATACCCGTGATAATATGAGCTGAACGGCAGAGCAAGCAGCAAGTGACTTGGATTTATTTATTTATTTATTTATTTATTATTATTATTATTATTATATTTAAAAAAAATCAAACGGTATTTGATTCAGTTCAATTTTTTACCGAACAATTCGGATCGGGTTTTTTATCGAACCGTTCGATATACAAGAATCCAATATCGTTCGGTTGTTCGGTATATTACTTTGGTTCGGTTCGGTACGGTTCGATTCGAGAAAACTAAACCGAATTGCCCACCCTTAAAGTTAATTACCAAAATGGTCCTTTGACTATAGCGAAATTACCAATTTGGTCCCAAGTTAACGGTTGACTAACGGAGGACCAAATTGGTTAAAATTTTTAAAGTTGAGGGACTTAATTGGTTAAAAAAAATAGTCAAGGACCAAATCGGTAATTTCGCTATAGTCAAGGGACCATTTTGGTAATTAACTCTTTTGTATATTAAGATCTATAAAATTGTGAATATTCAGTTCTAAAATTGTGAATATAGAGGAACGAATTCTGAAAACAAACGGTAAGAAAGAAAGTAATTTTATTTTTTAATTCAGACCGCGTCGTTTTAAAGCAAAATGACGCCATTTTGGACCTGGGCCCACAACGTAATTTGGCCAACAATGGAGTATTTTCTTTATGGGCTTGAATATTATCAGGCCTTCAGAGCATTTTTGTTTCCAGGGTGGGCCCATAAAGCCCGACAAGAAACTAAAAGCTCCAATGAATCAGAAAATCCAAAACGGCAACAATTATCCACTTCTCAGCTCTCACTGCGAGAGAATCAGTATTTCAATGGCGAAGACCGGAGAGGGCAGCAGATCAAGATGGTCTCTTACAGGGATGACCGCTCTGGTCACCGGAGGAACTCGTGGAATCGGGTATCTACTCCCCCACTCCTCCGCATTTATATAAAGTTCTGATTTTTATTAACTTTGATTTTGATGCTCTTAGGCGTGCGATCGTGGAGGAACTAGCTGAACTGGGCGCCAGTGTGTACACATGTTCGAGAAAGGAAGAAGAACTGAACCAACGCTTGCAAGAATGGGCTGCGAAAGGCCTCAAAGTCTCCGGTTCCGTCTGCGATGCTTCGTCTGCAGACCAGCGGGTGCTGCTCTCGCAGAAGGTTTCCTCCGCCTTTGATGGCAAGCTCAACATTCTTGTGAGTACCCAACGCTTATGTTTTTCTTTGTCGTTTTGGTACGGAGTAGAATTTAATGTTCACATGCCCAGATATCTGAATTTAGTGTTGTTTGATTCTAGTAGAAATGTGGGATGTTCTATGCTAATTCTGGCAATTACCTATCTTAGCAAGTATATTTCTGCTTGGCCCGCATAGATAGCTCGGTTGGTTAATTTTCGGGTGACAGATTGTGGACAAGGACACAAAATTAGCTTTTAGGATGTGGGAGTGACATTGGTCCTCCCACCCAATGGGCAACTGAGCCATTACCTAACTTAGCCCAGTTGTTTCTGCGTGGTAGATTGTGGACAAAGATACAAGATTAAGATCACGCCGTATTCTGGCCCGTACAGTTGTATGGGTAGCTTAGTTGGTGTCTAGGTGGCATATTGTGGCCCTATCTGCTGAGCCATTGAGTTACCATCATTTACATCTTCCTAAAAGCTCTGTCTGGTCGGGGTGTGGGGGGCCCTTAGAGTTTGGGATTCAACTTTTTGGAGAAGTATTGTGCCCTGACAGTCGCAGTGTGGGAGTTTCACCTTTTTGTGGGGTTATCCCTTGTGGGCACTAAACACTGGTCCTCCCATGATCCCATCTATTAGGTGGCTGAGTCACTGTGATTTACTCCTCCACAATCCTGTCGGACTAGGGTGTGGGGTTTAGGGCGAAGAATTTCGCCTTTTGTGGGCAAGTATATTTCTGCCTGGGCTTTTGACTTGCTTTCTGTGATTCTATCTGCAGGTTAACAATGTTGGGACAAACATCAGGAAGCCTACAACTGAGTATACTACTGAAGAATATTCTTATCTCATGGCTACCAACTTAGAGTCCTCTTACCATCTAACTCAAATTTCTTACCCTCTCTTGAAAGCATCTGGATCTGGATGCATTGTCTTTATCTCCTCAGTTGCTGGCATGGAAAACATTTCTTCTGGATCAATTTATGGAGCATCCAAAGGTATGCTATCATTACAGTAACGGTTTCTTTACATAAATACACAATGGAAGAAGCTCTATCAAAGTTATAGCTCTTTGGTTTCTATTCGCTACTCGTAGGAGCTATGAATCAGCTTACAAAGAATTTGGCTTGTGAATGGGCAAAGGACAACATTAGGGTCAATTGTGTGGCCCCCTGGTATATCAAAACCTCCCTGACGGATCATGTAATATCCTTTTCTCCTTGCGCTTTCCTAATATTATACGATGTGACTTCCATTTATTGTTGGGATATGCATGCATACTCTTGCCTGATTGACAAATTTGTAGAAGAATATGATAACTGTTTCTAAAGCGGTGTTGCTCTTAGCTTCTTTCTGTTTTCTCTCGTTTCGTGGAGATTTCAGAGAGGCTTAGCAAGTCTATTGGACTATGATTGGAAACCTAACATCCTTACCCGTATTTTATGTCTATTGGGACGAAATTTCTACAAAATTATTATCTGGCAAGTAGCCTAACTAAGCCTAATGGAGGTGTGATATATCTCTCCATAGAATTGATCGTAAGATTGTTCATTGAACCAATTGTGCCATTCTTGCAACGTCGTTTTGCAGTTGCTTGGGAACAAAGAGTTTCTCGATAGGGTGGTATCTAGAACGCCTCTCATGCGTCCAGGGGAACCGCAAGAAGTTTCATCAGTGGTTGCTTTCCTTTGTCTTCCTTCAGCCTCTTATGTGACTGGTCAGGTTATTGCAGTTGATGGAGGCTTTACAGTGCATGGTTTTGCCTGGTTCCATGGTTAAACGATCTGCGAATCGGATAACTTATCTGTTAGCTCGGGAGTTTGTTTTTAGGTTAGATTATATGGAATGGTTCTCTAACCCTCCTTGCATTTGTAATACTCTGTTTAATTTATGTACTGTATAATAAACAATGTGTTCAATCATTGCTGAAATTTTGAGCAATTTATCAAGTGTCTTTTTCAAGTTAGGAGAAAAATTTATAATCACTACCAAAGCATTAAACATGTGTATTAAATAAATCATGCCTTTATAATCTTAGTTGACAAATGATTACAAGGAAGTAAACTAGCTTAAGTGAATCATAAAGATCAAAGCTGCTCACGCTAAAAATTGAAGTTGTAAGTAATAGTCTCACTTTTTTCAATCTCTCTTCTCCCAAAAGATTGAATCTTTAAAATGTAAATCACGGACAAGTGTCAATACGTACAAAGAATCTCCACCTAAAAAAAAAAAAACAAGGGTGTGGGTCATTATGATAGTGAAATGAGAAGATGAATTGGGGTCTTGTCAGTGACGACTCACACGTAGCTTACAGCTTGGTTTTTAGTACACCCACAGGCCACAGTTGATGAATTCAATGGCGAAAGTGGGAGAGAGCAGTAGTTCAAGATGGTCTCTTTCTGGGATGACCGCCCTCGTCACCGGAGGAACTCGTGGAATCGGGTATCTATTCTGCCCCTCACCATTCTCTATCAAGTTCTGGTTTTTATTAAGCGCATTGAGGAATCATTTCTGGGTTTGAAAATTTTCGTGTTCTTCTGCGTTTAGGCGTGCAGTAGTGGAGGAGCTAGCTGGATTAGGCGCCAGTGTTTACACCTGTTCAAGAAAGGAAGAAGAGCTGAACCAGCGCCTGCAAGAATGGGCTTCTAAAGGTCTCAAAGTCTCCGGTTCTGTCTGCGATCTATCCTCTGCAGACCAGCGGCTCCTGCTCTCCCACAAGGTTTCCTCCACCTTTGATGGCAAGCTCAACATTCTTGTGAGTACTGTTAAGGGCTTGATTGTTTGTTTGGGTCATCTTCATACTCACCCTTAAATCTGATGCATTATCTCTTTCAATTCCTTCAAACTCTTGGTATATAGGCCGCTCTCACATAGTAGAACTTGAAACCTTGTGATTACCGAGTGAACAATCTGATCAACTTGGCTAGATTGTCCCGCCAGTATCTATCTTAGCAAAGTAGATTTCTGGCTGATCCACACGAACAACTCAGTTGGTTCCTTGTGGTAAATTGTGGCAAAGACGTCGAACCTTTACAGTTACACCCAATGTGGTAAGCTTCTTGTGATTATTAGACACTAGTCCTCTCACCTAATGGGCTGTTACACCCAATGTGGTAAGCTTCTTGTGATTATTAGACACTAGTCCTCTCACCTAATGGGCTGTTGAGTTACTGTGATTTACTTATCCAGTATCCAGTGGGTCGGGGGCTAGAAAATTTCGTCTTTTGTGGGCAAAATTTTTTTATGTACAACAGAAATCAACCTAGAATATACATGCCTAAATAATCAACATTCAATTAGTTTGTATATGCTCAAATAATGAATGCTATGCACACAAACAGTGAACCTTATGCATATAAATAATGAACCTTCATAAACATTACGTATAAAAGTAAGGTACCATATGCATAAAAAATAATGTAACATATGCATAGAAATAATGTACTCTATGTGTGTGGATCATGGTCCACCTTATAAGCATTGTTATATTTCTGCCTGGGCTTTTGACTTGGTGTTCATCATTCTGGCCACAGATCAACAATGTTGGGACAAACATCAAGAAGTCCACAGCTGAGTACACTATGGAAGAATACTCTTTAATCATGGCTACCAACTTAGAGTCTTCTTACCATTTGTCTCAGCTTGCGTACCCTCTCTTGAAAGCATCTGGAGCTGGATGCATTGTCTTTGTCTCCTCTGTTGCTGGCTTGGTACACATATATACGGGATCAATCTATGGAGCAACCAAAGGCAGGCTATAATCACAATAAAGTTTCTTTACATATACGTGGAAAATGGAAAATTAGCTTTCTTGACTAAAGTTATGGCTCTTTGAGTCTTTGCTTTCTTTTCTATTGCCTACTTACAGGGGCTATGAATCAGCTTACCAAGAATTTGGCTTGCGAATGGGCAAAAGATAACATTAGGGTCAATTCCGTTGCCCCTTGGTATATCAGAACCTCGCTTGTGCAACATGTAATGTACCCTTTTCTTCTTATGCTTTGAGTGACGAGGAAAACTTGCAGTCACTACCTGAGGGTGTGCACTGGGGACCTTGTGCAGATGTTACAACCTGAGTTGCCTTTGTATTCTAGTCTGTTAAGGTTGTTGGTTGAAGTAATTGTGGGATTCTGGGAACTTGATTGTTGCAGGTTCTTGAGAAGGAGGAGTTTATGGATAGGGTGATATCCAGGACTCCTTTCAGGCGGATCGGGGAACCAGAAGAGGTTTCATCAGTGGTTGCTTTCCTGTGTCTTCCTTCAGCTTCTTATGTGACTGGGCAGATTATAGCTGTTGATGGTGGTTTTACAGTGAATGGGTTTGAATGAGAATCAAAAACTGGTTTCAATTCCTTCCATGTTCATCATGTGTGTTTAGTTAGTGTCTTTGATCTGCCATTTGCAGTTCTGTGGTTTCTTTGTGAACCAGTTCTAGCTGAATCAAGTTGACAGTATTAATAATGCATATATATGCACAATACTATCTTCTCATATATATGTTTCTCTTCATCCTTTATACTTAAACTAGGTGGTCCAAACAAGGACCATTTTTCCCCAGCTAGATTTCATGTCAAGAGGGATTGCAACAGGTTGGGCCCTTTGGGTTTTGGTCACAATAACCCACCATCCATTGGTATGTATATTTGATTTCATCAATAAAATTGTTATCTATGTTTCATTGGTCGAACTAAACAGGGTTAACCAATTCATAGCACTCAATGAATAAATGTTATTTCAATAAAAAATATTGGAGGTGAAATTTAAGAGGGGAAGAAAGTATTTTTCTAGATTTATTGTCTATATACAAATGTTGTTCAATGTATTAAAAAAACAAACCACACTTATTATACTTTATTTATAATAATAATAATAACTCCTCACAGGTTTGAACCTCACTAGTGACATTGACTCATTATGCTTCAATAAGTTGAGAAAATGTATTATATGTATGGATAAATTCTACGTTATAATAGAGTCAATAGTGTTCAACTAGGGGTCCGTTTGGAAAGCAGGAAAATGACTTCTGGAAAATGAGTCATTTTTCGGAAAACATTTTCCTTTCTTGTGTTTGGCAGCACAGCAGAAAATAGTCTTTGTGTGTTTGGTTCATTTTCTGAAAAATGAGATAGAATTGTATAATTAACCATTTTATAATTAATTATTTTGTTTAAAATAAAAAAATTATAATTATTTTTTTAAAAAACCAAATAATATTAATTATTAAAAACTTAAAAAAAAAAAAAAAAAAAGAATACGGAAGAAACCAGAGAGGGAAACCAGTGAGGGAAACCAGAGAGAAACCAGACTTCTCTCTGGTTTCCGGCGAGGGAAACCAGGGAGAAGTTCTCTCCAGTGGAAGACGACCGGAAAATCTCGCCGGTCGCCGGAATTAAAATGACCAGTAATAACAGGTTATTTACCGATTTTTGGGCTTTATTGATCCAATTTAACATGTTTGAGTGTTTAATTGACCTTTTTTAATATTTAGGAGCCTAATTGACCTTTTAAGGTAAAGTTTATGGGCCTATTTGACCCTTTTCTCAACTATTTATAAAATAATAATTAAACTATCAAATTATAATTTAAAAAATCAATTCAATTATATACTTGAATTCACGTAACATCGCACAACTAACTTATTTTAATCTTTTTTTTTTTTTCTGTGAGATCATATCGATATTGCTTATTTGACATTATAATTATTGATATTATTTTTTTTTAAAAAAAATCTTATTTCTTCTTCATTGAAAAATAGAATAAAATAAAATCATGAATTTGATAACACAATCACCCGTCACCACTGCGGGTTGCCGGCTTTTCTTCTAAAAGAAGGCAACAATCGTTGCCTTTTCTAGATCTAGATGGAGGTGATGATGTGAGACTAGGCCATGACAAAGATGTCATGGCCTAGATAATGAAGAAGCCAGGGCTTGCAAAGAAGTTGGCTATAGACCTATAGTAGATAATTTTTTTTAATTGAGGATTTTTAATGCTTTGAATAAAGAAGCCACTATAACCCTAAAAGGACATATAAGTAAATTTTTAAAAATTACCTTATGATAATATGTTTAAAAAAATGCAATTGCACTATTTCTATAAATTCATAAATTTAATTATAAGGCTTTTAATAATTTAATAGTTTTTTTTTTTTTTTTTTTGGAATAGCAATTTAATAGTTTAATTACAATTTAACAAATTATTTGAAAATATATTTAACCTTTTTACCTAGTAAAATATGATGATTTAAACATTAATCACAACTCTCACACTAATCAAACAAGACTTTATACACAGTAACTCTTTTTTGTATGTTGAAAAGAGTTTTTCATGATAAAATAGATCACGACTTTAAGTTTGAACACTAAAATAAAAAGTCTGACGAATTAGAACAATAGGCGAGCACTTCATTTTTTTTTTAACAGAAGTATTGACAGAATTTTGTGTAAGGAAAGATTGAGAGATGAATAGAGAAAGAAAACCAAAGTTTTGATAAGTTCAAATTAGTAAGCATAGTTTACTCATCGGAGCGCGAGAGAGAAACTCTATGCTATACAATTCAAACTCTTTCTAGAAAGCTCTTGTATATATAATAGTGTAAACCCACTTTCCAATCCAATTCAGGACAAGTGCTTTAATTTTTACAAAGCCCTTTCACCTTTTATTTCCAACTCAATTGAGTCTACTTTAAAATTTGTCAAATAAATCTATTTTGAGAAGCAATTTCTCGCTCACACATTATCCGTTTTGAGCGAACAATATATCAATTTCTTCGTCTCAATATGAAAAGTGTAAATCCATTTTGACCCGAACCAAATCAAAAGTGGACTCTATATATTTGTACCACAAAATAACCACATACATGTCATTTTGTGCTAAAAATCTCAACAAAACTAATCCTCAGTATATAATTTGTGAACTATTATTCAATAATAAGATTTATCTAATGAATACTATTAGATAATAATTATGGTATGTACATTTCTATTGTCACAAAAAAAGTGACGCTACGTGGAGGCATCCAAATGGGTAGTGCTGGTATGCCATCACGTCCCATGGCAGAAGTGGATTCGTATCGGTGGTGGATCCCGCAATATGTAACAATACCCGACCTGCCCTCCCCCACTTCTCCTTTACGGAGTTGACATTTATCATCCTTATAATCCTCTCCTCTCCTCTCTTCATTTTTCTTATCTTCAACGTGTCAGTGTTTCAATGCGCAACACAAGTACACTACCTTAAATTCTGACTCGTACGTTCCACGTAATTTGATGCCTACACTAATTTTTTTTAAATATTTATTATGAAAAAATATACTCCGTAATATTTTTACATTTTAATTTAAAAGACTTGTTAATATTACTTAAAAAATATAATAATTTTACATTAAAATATAATAATATTTATCAAAAAAATTATATTTTTCACTACTTTTTTTTTAATTTTATAAATAAAACTTTCATACATTGCTGATGGGGTCAACATTCTATTATTATATCACACCATTAAAGCTTCTTATTATTCTCTACTTATTCAATTTATGTTGATATCACTGAATTAGTTCATACCAACAATAATAATTAAGGATTTAACAATAGAAAATGGAAATTTCAATATTAGCAAATAAGAACAATTCTAGATGTTGCTACTAACATTTTGGTGGTGTACAAACCAGATCGGAATCTGAGATTTCATTATATCCAGGTCACCTTCTTCAAGGAAGCCATGGATTCTTGTATACACTGGACTTTCAGAGTACTACAATGTTGTATAATGAGAAAATTTTTAAGGTATATGTATATATATAGAGAGAGAAGATTAATGTTAGTTTGGCTATGGATTTCTTCTCAGATCGACGACGACGACGCTTATGTTATCGCTGCTGTAGCGTGCTAAGGCCAGCTTTGTCAAGAGGATTGACGCATCTGAGCAGGCCTTGTCCGAGCTCTCCCCGGCGGCGGCCGTGACTGCGTCGTCTCGTCCCGGCGATCGCGGCGGCGATGGAGGCTTCCCTTGCCGCAAGCACATGCGGGCGACGCCGCAGGCTGTCTCGTTTGATACGACGTCCCATAGGCCGTCGCTTGCTAATATCAAACACTCGTCCTCCGCCGTCCTCTCCGTAACGGTTACCTCCGGTTCCGATATCACGTAGGGTTTCAGGTAATTGTCGCCTGAGAAGATGAAACGTTTTAGCCATAATCGGCCGGAAAAGTAAAAATATGTAAATTTAGAAAGGTTTTGGGATATAGAACATACCGATAGCTCGAGACATTGCCAGGACTCCGAGAACTCGAGGTCCGTCCCAGTAGATGACTCGGCCGCCGGCGGCTTCGATCCGATTTACTTCGTCCGGTCGATCCGGCTACACAAGGTAAATCGGAACACGATTTCAGTCTCTTAAGAAATGGATTGACATGAGAAATTAATTAAGCACAGTTGGAATTTGTATTTACCTTGTGATCGACGGAGAGTGGGATAGCGACTCCATTCCGGCAAAGAACGGCGCGAGAATCGCCGCAATTGGACACAACGATACTTTCCGGTGTTACCACGGCGACTACGGCGGTGGATCCGACGGCATCGCATTGCGGAGTCTGCAGCTCGCAGCGGCAACTGGAGCGCGCGGCGGCGGCGGCGGCGTTGGCTCCGCTTGACCAGTCGGTAATTTCCTGGTCCATTTTGCAGAAGCTCCGGGACATCACCTCCTTCCATTCCGGCTCCTCCCCGCCGACCTCGCTCTGGACGATCTCGTGCATTCGATCTCTGCACTTCATCGCCACCTACGAAATCCCCACACAGAAATTAGAGAAAACTCCAAATATCAAACACTTCGCGTGCAAACTTGTTAAACTTACATGTGAGCAACCGTGGCCGTCGTACACGCCGAAAAAGTGCGAGCTCGTGGAATTCTCAGTATTACGCCGGAAAAAAGGATGAATCGCCACCGCGTCTTCCATATCCCTCCTCCTCCCGCAAACAGAAGTCATCCCGAATTTAGGGCAATCCGGTTCGGTTCCAGAACACGTACCAGATTCAGGCCGGTCCGGATCCTCAATCGGATCTTCGCTACTATTTTCACCCTCTTTAATCTTCTCAACAAATCCTTCATCCTCGCACGGCTTAGAAACATAACAGACATCGTTTCCCTCCAATTTGCGCCGCTTTTTACAATTCTCACTCACGTCGCAGCTCTCCTGCGCCGGCGGAGAAGCAGGGAAAATATTATTCTGTCGCTTCCTGTCGTTGTCCAGCGGCGGAGCCACCGCGACGTCGGCGGCCACGAACCGGAACTGGTGAATCTCCATCCGCCGTCTCCTGGCACCCTCGGAGCTCGGCTCAACCGGAGTCGTAGCTTCCGTTTCGCCACCGCACACCGCAGCCATTCAACCAACAAAAAACACCAGAAAACAGAGGAATTCTCAGCCTTTCTTCACCTCTAAAGGTTAGAAATTCCGAAATCAGAACGAAAGCATAAGAGATAAGAGGAAATCTTAAAAGCAGAGAGTGGAGAGGTCCCATGAAAACAGACGCCTTTTGAATACATGGAGGATTGAAGGCATTGCACCTGAGGATGGTGGGGCAGGGCGGGCAGCTGCCCGTCACCGCCCCGGGGCAGATGGCGACGTACAGTAGCCAGTAGGTGTGGCGTTGGACTTGTGATGGGCGATCTTGGCCGTCCAAATCGCTTTCGTGATCTTTTTTGGTGGGAAAATGGTCCGGACACGTGGAAAGCATACTGCGGGGAGAAGCGTGGACCAATGGGAGTGCACCACGCAGGGGGTGACCAAATTTCCTTTTCTGACACGCATGTGGTCCTCGGGGGCGACCTCGCCGATTATTCTCCTTTTCGGCCGCGATTAATAGAAGTGCGTTTCATCGCAGGATTTCACCACGCGGCGGAATCTGGAATGCGAGATTTGTTGCTTACTTGTCCCTTCACGCTCCTTTGTAGCGTGTGGTTGTCACCTTCACAAAATTAAGAATAAAGTATGGTCCCTCAACTATAACGAAAGTATCAAATTAGTCATCAACTTTTTTTTTGACCGATTAAGTCATCACGTATTGAATTTATATCTGATTTGATTCTTCGTCAATTTAAGTGTTAACTGACCGTCTCTTTTGAGGGCAAAATAGAACTTTCACTCTTTCTTTTTTTTTTTTAACTTGGCGTCGGTGGTGATGCAGAGAGGCAGAGCAGCCGCAACGGCCAAGCAAGCGGCGGCGGTGGGGAGTCCGTAGCCTGAAAATGCCAACGAATCTAGAGGATCTCCGGAGATTAGGCGGGGGAGTGAGAAAGAGTCCGTGGGGGAGATTCGCCGCCAAGATCAGAAACCCTTGGAAGAAAACCTGGGTGTAGCTGGACATCTTCGACTCCGTCTCCGAGGATGCTGCCAGAGCTTACGAAGAAAGCATCTGGAATTCCGAGTTACGATTTTACCTTTCACCACAATTTCTCATCCCCCGTTGAGTCGGTAAACGAGACAGAGAGCTTGGGATCACTCCGTGGCGGTTGAGTCGATTCACCCGTAGCGTTAAGTCGGTTGAGTCTGGTTTGCCGCAATCAACGTTGTGCCGGTTCTTCTGGTGCCTCCTCTCCTCCTTCGCTAGCGGAACTGCACGAAAAGGCCGACTGGGGAGCTTGGGATCTGGTTTTTGCTGCCGCCAGCGATGTTGCAAGAATGAAGATGATGGAGGAATAAGCTCCTGCCGCCGCTGCTAGGCTTTACCCCAACCAAAATGGGATATGGGCTCCTCCCAGAAATGCTAGCCCAGTCGGCGACGTTCCTACTCCCAGAAATGCTAGGCTTGATGAACTCAAATCAACTTCACAGTACTCGAATTATCAAGAATTGCACATGGCTCAAGTAAAAGCTCTTGAGAATCTTGAAACATATTCATTCATTTGTTCTTGTTAGCTTTGACTAATCTTCCTACAATTACGAAATGCGGGAAATACAATAAATACTGAAGTACCATTTTGCCCTCAAAAGAGACGGTTAGTTAACACTTAAATTGATGGAGGATCAAATCGAACATAAATTCAATACTTGATGACTTAATCGGTCAAAAAAAAAATCGAGAATCAATTTAGTACTTTCGTTATAGTCGACGGATTATTTTAGTAATTTACTCTTAAGAATATTAAGTGTACGTTTTATAGAGTATTGAACTCAATATTATAAGGCTTAAAAAAATAAATCAATACTTATATGGCTAACAATAAATTACTAATGATTTCGGTTTCATACAAATGAGTTATTTATCTCGATTTCTTCCCGCAAATAAACTACAACATTTAAGGATAAATTATAGTCATTTGTTTCGATCACTATATTATATATGTCGTTGACATAAAATGCATGATGACCTTGCAATATGACGATACATTTTTGGGTTAACTCATCTTTATAGGGCCAAGACCATTTATATTAGTTATTGCATCATATCACATGTGTCACCTAGGGCTTAAGGGGTCCAAGGGGATATGATGACTTATTATCACCCTTATGAGGTTTTTTAACACGGAGGCTAGACCTTTTGCTTACGAGTTCCCTCACTGTTGCGGGTGAGACTCCATCCCTAATCATTTTTTTCAAATTTTACCCATGTGACCAACTGAGCTGCCCATGCGAGCATGTCATCAAAATTATAACATCATATATCGAGGCTTGACAAATGAAATGATAGTAGCAAATTAATTTGATGTGGCGCGTTTTCATTGATGGAGATAGATAGTCAACTAATTGTTCGACAAATGAAATGATAATTCGATGTTCCTGGTTTCATCCCATTTCATTAGACTTACAGGGCGTTTAGTTCACTGTAATTTCGTTGTAGTTGAATTGCATTTCAGTGGATGTCTCAATTACTTTGTTTGGTTGGAGGGGATTACAATTCTACATAATTACAATTCTCTCTTTTTGTTGAATTGCAATTCATGGGGTACCCCATGAATTGCAATTTAATGAATTTGAGAAAGAAAAAACAAATGAAATGACACTACTACCCTTAGTTGTTATTACTATTATTATTACATAAGGGTACTTTAGTCTTTATACCACTTCTTTCCCTCTCAACTCCAAAATTCTATTTCTCAATACCAAACAACGTAATTTGAATTCCTACTTTATTCCCACCTTATTCTTTTTCTACCGAATTACAATTTCTTTCCCCCCTAATTCCCTCCTTCCAACCAAACACCCAGTTATTGTTTGAGTTAGTAAACCAGGTAAACTGTTCTATAATCTCATCATATACTATACATTTTTATTTACAAGATGTGAATGAAAAATTCTATCTGATACATAAACAAAATGAATGTTAAGTAAAAGAAGAGAAAAAAAATTAAAGAACAAAAACTACAAGTCATCCAACACATGATGGTTTCCAGCCACATTTTTTTAGTGGTCTAAGCTGAAACAGGTCAAAATATTCAACTCTAATTATACATATATACTCTTTATCCTTCCATATTCTCATTGAAAATGGCTTTTGGATAATGGTGATGAATGCATGTAAAGCTAAGGCGGAAGAGAATAATATAATTGGAGTCACTCTAAACATGGCATCAGATCCTCAAATCTTATGTGCTCCATCCATTAATTATATATTAACATTTTTTCTATAAGCTGATACAGACAACCTAATTATATTATCCTAGTTATATTATTTAGTGCAGATGATGCATAGGTATCTAGTCCGAGACATGTTACATGGCTACAACATATGTAGTGTGGTATAGCAGTCTTAATACCACCCTACCTTATTCCATGTATAATTATGGCAAAAAGAATCTGCCATAACAGGGCGTTTGGTTGAAGGGAATTTAAATTTCCTTCTCAGTTAATTCCCACCTAATTTCAAAGGCCACAAAATTTCCTTGTTTGATTGAAAGGAATTGTAATTCTATTGAATTGCAACTCCTCCATTTTCATGGAATTAAAATCCCATATCCCCTTGGTATTTTAATTCCTGAGATTTTAGGAAGAAAACAAGATAGTGATGAGTCAAAATTACCCCTAACTTTTTTAACTTAAAATTAATGTCTAACAAGAACAATGGACATTTTTTACTTTCTACTACTTATTCCCTTTCAATTCCCATGTATACCAAACATTGGAATTGAAATTCCCAGTAATTCTATTACTGTAAACCAAACACTAGAATTTAAATTCCTACTTTATTCCCAATAATTCATCTCCCATGAAATTGCAATTCATTTCCCACGTAATTCTCCATCTCCAACCAAACGCCCTGTAAGAGAATATTGGATGAACTCAGTTTTAGATTTTTTATGTCTTGGAGAGAGAATAATTTTTTTTTTTAAAAAAAATAAATTTATGGGTGGTTGTTAGTGTATTTTCTCATTAGTGTTTCTTATTCTTCTTCTTCTTTTTTTATTAATTCACAAAACTCGAGAAAAGATCATATTTAACACTAAAGCTTAGTTTGTGTTTGGAAATCAAGAAAATGACTTCTCAAAATTCGTTGTGGCGATCGATGGTGGTGTTGGGTGTGGTGATGGCAATAACGTACTTGGACAGGTTTGGGGTGCAACGACGGTTGGCTGGTAGGGTTAGGGAGAAGAAGAATGAAGACTTGGTTGGCTCCGGAAAATGACTTCCCAAAATATTGGGAAGATGTTTTCTGGAAAAATAATGCTATTTTCCCTTTGACTCATCCTTATTTTCTATTGACTCTAGTTTTTCCTCCTTTGCCAAACATGGGAAGTCTGAAAAATAATTTTCAGAGCCAATAAAACTAATTTGATGGACCAAAATGGTGATTTTTTTCATTTTTAAAATTTCTTCAATTTGATCCTCCAAGGTTTAATTGACGAAATTTTAAACAATTCGATGATCAAATTAGTTGAAATTGAAAACTAAGAACTATATTGACAATTGATAGGCTAATATGATGATTGAAAAATATTACATGTACTCTCAACTTTTAATCCCACTTGTGTTCAAATTTGATTGGAGGAAGAAAAAAAGAAATAACTAAACATCATGACCCTCTTATAAAATTGATCAATCAAAGCATGTCAAATTATAGAAAGTAGAAAATGGGAGTATGAAATAGGAGTACATAGACCTGGCAATTCGTGTATACGGGTTCGTTAACGGGTCGACACGATAACGACACGAACACGATAAGGCTAAACACGGACACGACACGTTAAGGTTAACGGGTTCAAATTTTTAACACGAACACGAACACGATTTGTCAACGAGTTAAACGGGTTGACACGATAGACACGTTTTGTTAACAGGTTTCGGGTCGTGTCGACACGATATGACACGAAATTCGTTTAAACCCGCTAAAACTATTAATATATTTTTTAAAAAACTAAAATTTAAATTTAAGTTATATAAAAAAGAAATAAAACCTACAATTCAATCCATCAAACAAACTAAACAAAATATTCAATTTATAACATTCATAAAATGATAAAATACGGAGTAACATACAAAAATCATAATTAAAGAAGTCCATGCTAGTTTTTAGAATAAAATTGAACACAATAAAAATTCAAATTTCGTATTGTTGAACATCAATAATTGGTATATGATTTTGGCCTAATGTAGTAAATTCATCATTAGTCATGTTCATGATATCTTTTGTAATCTCATTCATGAAAATGGTTCTTAGCGGGTTATAAACAAGTTTGTGTAAACGGGTTGACACGATAATATTAACGGGTTAAACGGGTTCTTAATAGGTTTAACGGGTTGACCCGTTAAGACACGAAACATAACGGGTTCTTAACGGGTCAATCCTTTAACGACCCGGGACATGTTAAGGCTAAACACTAACCCGTTATTTTCGTGTCCGGTTTCGTATCGTGTTAACGGGTCGTGTCCATAATTGCCGGGTCTAGGAGTACATGTACTCATGATGATTTCCTTTTTGATTTAGTTTTTTTTTTTTTTTTGAAAACTCCTTTTGATTCAATTAAATGTAATAAACTATACCGACTTCTACTACATAGACTCCCAAAATTCTATTCTCTCATTTATACTCCCTAATGTGCCAAATTAAGATTGGTTATTTTCATCATGTGGGTCCACAGAAAAATATCTACATAAAAAACATGTGAGAAGAAGTACAAATTTAAAAATTTAAAATGAGAGTACACCAAGTATTTTCCAACTATACCTATCACTTTGTAGGACCGACTTTGACCCTACGATCCATGTTTCATACTAGCTTAAGAGAAATGTGACATTACCGATAACCATGTCCACATACCAATATATATAGTTATTTACCCTAACAATATTACACGAGTGATACAATTAATATATGCATCCAAACATGCAAATAATATAATCTTTCACAGTACAACAAGTTCCAATCATTCATCTTACAACAACATAATTAATGATATAATGCAATTTATGTATGCATGCAAAAACTATAACATAACAAATCTTCCACACAAGTTAGTTGTTTGCTTAGCTTCCAACTAACCACAAATTCATTTGATTTCTCTTGGTTTCATAGTTCACTACTTGAGTTTCTTCTCAGCTGTGAAGACCCTATAACTTGCATGAGGACCTTCAGAGGTTTCTTCCACTGATACTTCCCACCCCACAGCCTTCCCAACCTCTTCAAGCTCATCCATAACCCCAACAACATCGCGAACATATACCTTCCCCCCGGGCCTCAAAACGCGATCCATTTCAACCATGATGCTCGATACATTGCATCTAATTCGATATATTTACAATACACAGATCAATCAATTCTCCGATTAAATATATCCTAAAGAAAAGATTTAATTACCTTTTCCTTTCAATGGAGAAGAGGCCATTAGCATGCAGCAAGTCATATGTTCTTGGATAGGTGTCAAATGGTTCACACCTAGGAGACAATGTAGTAGGAAACACATCAACAACATATGATTAGTATAGCGAAACCTGCAGATAGCTCTGATACCAAATTGAAGCATGTGCTCCATTTCAACTAAAAGTCTAAGCTGATAGTTGGATTGCAGATTTATGTTTATATATATTATATGCTCAACATTCTCGGGGTTCTTACATACCAGTCGTGCATAACTCCAATGAGACCGCGATCATATATAACAGGCAACGTGTTCGGTCCACTCACGGGAACAACATTCAGGACCCAACACTCCAGCTTATTGTTAATCAGTGCTTCAGCAAACCTGTCATGTATGTTCCAGTCTTATGAACTAATTAAACAGTAGAGTGCAGTGAAATGGTGAGAATCGAAAATATACCCTCCAAAACCGGCTCTCATGTCCATCACGTTTCGAAGTTGGAATTTGTCCCAACCCAGTCTGCGAATGTAGCTCTCGACTATATCCCTCCAGTATCTTGACTCTGCCCTAACTAGCTCCACTCTCGATATCTGAGCATCAAGATGTACGGTTTTCAGCCTGTGTGAAGGATAATGGAGGCGTTCTGGCCCCGTGGACACATTCGCAGCATACCCTTCCTCGGGCAGCTGTGTGATACAAGCCTTCAAATCAACGTACCTAAGAATGACAACGAACGAGCACAAGTTGCAGAACAGGACATATATACATCAAATTATCATGGATTAATCGAAATCTTGAAATATAATGGACCAGATTGGCAGAGAAGGAGAACCAGATGTTGTCAGGATCGTCGTTTGGATCACACAATGGCGGCTGGCTTCCTTCCTCGCGGCTTAAATAGCAGCTGTTGTTTAAAGGCTTCTGCCATATTGCGATGGTGCCCTCTTTCTTCACAAGTTTCCAGCAAATACTCGTGGTGAGATTAACCATCTCTGGATATAAGAAAACCGAGATTAAATGTCAATTCACACACCAACTTTTCATTCTTTTTCGAGCAAAGAAGCAATGATAATCAGTACTAAAATACCTTCCCATTGCACTCCCAGGGCTGCTTCGTGCTTATAAACAGGCTGTGCAGACCAAACAAAATACCCTCCTGCTCGAAGCATCCGGTTGGCCTCCAGAAGCAATATTCCATCTTGATTAAAACGAATCAGAGGGATGTGCAATTAGAGACACTCATAAACTAAGAAACGAGCAAGAGCCGCTAACTTAAAAAGCTAAGAAGTTTACCATTGCGAGTCCAGTTTATCTGGCACCTTGAACAATGGATTAAGTCGAAGGCCTGACTAGGATACAACAAGCGCCTCGTTGCAAAAGTAGCCACCATTGCAGGAACACCCCGTTCGAGTGCAAATTGGATCTGGTTTTCGTGCTGATCCTTTGGGGAAATTGAGAGGGGGAGCACGTTTCGTGACAGTAAATAGGCACCAAAGCTTGCCACGCCACAACCAACATCCAACACAACTCGGGTACGATTACCAAATGCAATTTCAGGCACCATCTAACACATATGCACCAGATTGAATGTCAGAATGTAACACAAAAAATTTCTGCAATTCATACTTAAGTTCAGAGAATTGGTCACCTTTTGAATCTGATCCAAGTACTCATTTGCCCCACGGATGAACTGTGTGCCACCTCCTGGAAACCTGAACTTGTCGTTGTCTCGTGTTATCCAATTCTGGCCTCCTTTATCCTCAACAAGGCGTTCATGGGGGACATTGCTGAACCAAACCTGCAGTTTAGCACAACATGTATAGATATTTCAAGATTCAAGAATAAAGCAATTATAGGGGCAACCCAGTCAAGTTAGTCACGATGCTGACTTATAACCAGAAGGTAGCCTACTGGCCTTCTTGGTTTGAAGTTTGAATCGTTTTTCATATCACAAGGCAGAATTGATCTGGTGCACACTCTTAGATAGTAACTGATGGAGGGTACCTCATCGCGACTTTGTGGCCATGGTATCCGAGGTTTGTAGCCTTCGGGTGCAGGAACCAAGCAGTTCAAGCCCTTGCCTGGGCAATGGCGCTCGAATTCTTCGCCTTTCTCTGTGGATTTTAGGGTTTTTACAGCCTCCATGTTGTCTAAGCAAGGTATGTATTCACTCATATTGCCAGGGCACAGCTCAAACTTCTTAACCGCAAGCTTTTCACCTTCAATTTCATCTTCTTCCTCCCAATTATCCACCCAGTCTGCTTCAATCTTCCCCACCGTAAAGTCATCCGTCATAACCCCGTCACCGTCCACCACCCCGGTCATCAGCACCGCCTGCGGCGGCGGCGGCGGTGGAGGCAACAAATTGACTGTCGCCGGCGGAATTGCAGCCGAAACTTTTTCTTCCTGCTGGTCGTCGGCGGCAGCCGTGTCCTTTGTTGCAGACGATGAATTGATGGGGTTACGGGAGAGGACGACGGCGCCGGCGCCGGGAGAAGAAGAGTTTTGGCGGGAACCGAAGAAGAGTAGCTCCTGTGGCTGGGCATTTGACCAGTGAGTTCCGGCGTAGAAGGAAACGATGGCTACGAACAGGAAAGCGGCGATCTTGATCGCCGCCGTCGAGAATCTCGAAACGTCCCCGGCGATCTCCCCCTTCATCTCGCTATTCAATTCAGAAATACACACAAAACACGCATATATCTCTCTGTAAAAGTGAGAATTCTTGATTGTTTAGCGCCGAGGAAGATGACAGAGCCGTGTCGTTTTGTCTGTTCTGGTTCTTGATTCTGGGGATTTCTAAAACGAAAGCTTGTCTGTAGTGTTAGTTGTATCTTAGGCTGCTGAGATGGCGACGTGGTTGCGCCACCACCGACACCCTCCGAAAACAACCGGAAAAAATCTTTGCTTCCCCCACTCCCATTAACCACTTTAATTTGATAGCAGAACGTTAGACTCGCCTCTTTTAACTTCGGCCCTAACATTTTTAGTGTTTCATTAATGGCGGTGGTTATATAAATGTCCATTTGCTTTAAAAATTAGGGTTTGCTACTGCAATTAATGTTTAGAAGTGCTGCCCAAAGCTCTAATTTTAATTAAAAACTGGATGCATATATGTATGTTATGATTGAAAAGATGGAGTCTTTTGTTTATGTATATTATTAAAAAGTAATAAAGATTGATTTATTTGCAATCTGCCATTAATGGCTGACGTTCTTGGTCTTGTTCTTATTCTGTGAAGTGGGTGGCCAGAGGAAAGCACCCATTGCAAACGCCCTCTTGTAGTCCAAGTCGCCATTGGCGGGCAATCCATAGTCAGCTAGAAGCTTATCGACCTTCCATTCTGGCATTTCTTTGTAGTCTTCCATGGTGTATTTTGGGTAGTGCAGAGGCATCTCAAAGTAGGTGGTGCTCACGTTGCTCTTCTTCTCCTTCTCCATCACTCTCCTCTTTTTTCAGCTGGTTGGTTGAAGCGTGGGGCCGGCTATATATATATAAGCATGTGAACAAGTATCATGAAAATGGAATGTTACACCTTCTTGGGTTCCCATGCCATGCATACATAGCTGTTTTTGGTGTATGTTCATGTGTGTGCTTCTTCTTCTTCTTCCTTTTATTATAACTCAAGTTTCTGATTTTGTAGGACTATATCTCGATCCATACTTATTTATGAACATAGATCAACCTCTCACTTTAATTTGTCACCTAAAAAGTATAAATGAAACTTCTTATCCACTAGATTAATGCTCTAAGGTTGTGCTTCTTTTAATTGTGCCAAAGGGAAGGGGTGGATTGTAGTGCTAATATAAAATTATGTTAACCCAATAAATTATGTCAATGGATAAGTAAGCTATTAATGTAACCATAAAGTTTAAGAATCAATTATATATGTTTGTCATGTTAAAAACTTTTGAGTTATGTTTTACTGCTAAGTTATGTCGAACTTCTAAGTTATGTCTTACCTTTAAGTAAGAATTAAACTTTACTAGTGCAAAACTTAGAGATCTTATGAGTAAGAGTCAAATTTTACAAACGCGAATCAAACTGAATCTGAATTAGTTTTATCGGGATAGTAATACCAAAGTAGAGATCCATTTGGCAAATTATATTGTGTGCTCTGGTCTAAAATGACATCATTTTGTATCTGGTTTTTTTTTGGAAATTTCGTTTTCCGTTTCTGCTGTTAACTCCGTTTGGAATGTACATAATTGTATAATAGATACACATAAACCACTAGCATAATACACATAATCTAACATAACACATAATACAAATAAACTCTTAACATACAAATAAACTCTTAACATACACATAAACTCTTAACTCTTAAAAAATCCCATGTTTCGAATGTACATAATTGTATAATATGATACACATAAACTCCTAACATAATACACATAACCTTTTTTGAAAGGATAATACACATAATCTAACGTAATACATAATATATATAAACTCTTAAATAATATACATAAACTCTTAACGTAATACACATAAACACATCAACTCTTAACATGATACACACAGAGCGGTGTCCGTTGCTTCAACCCCTCACACAACTTAATAAAATGACGTCATTTTGAACAGAGTGGGACGCACAATGCATTGTATGTCCTTGTGCACGATATAATGATTGGATCAAATTGGCACCAACAATAAATTAGGGACCTAAGGTGAATTCTCAACAAAAATGGGATATTTTCCGACCAAATAATTTTGGGCTGGTTCCAAACCTTATCATATAAATTATAAACTACTGGGCCCATAAAATGATTTGCATTATGAGACACAATAATATAATGGCCCATGAGATGAGACTACGACCACCCAACACCCAATGATTCCGTACACATAGCTCCATTCCCTTAAACTATTGTGCCCCTCAGAAACCGAAGGCCATGGTTGGGCTACAAATGCACAATGATTGGACTCGCATTCTCAGCCACCCGATTGCTTATCCGATTCACAGATCCGAGCCCATCGAATGATTGAGAAACGTGTGGCTTCACGGATCCGTACACGCAACACCACTTGATAACAAGTGGCTTTAAGAATGGGCAACGTTTGAGCCGTGAAGTTTGTCTCGCGTTATGGGCCAGCGACCCGAACTCCTTATTTGGAAACGTGACATTATAACAACAAGTTAGGTACATCCTAGTATGACAGGTTAGATATTTGTTAAAGATTATAAGAGCATCCACACTTGTGCATATTGTGGGGAGATTTCAGCATTAATTCTTCCCTACATGAGATAATAGCTAGTGTGGAGGGGAGATAATTGAAAAATAATTGTCCTGCAAATGTGAGGATATTGTCAAAAAAAAAAAAAAGAAAGAAAGAAAGAAGAAGAAGGAAGGCTGTGCGCGAGGGCAAAAGCCTCTGATTATTATTATTATTTTTTTTAATTTTTTTTTGTTTTGTTTTGTTTTTTTTTTTCTCTCCCCTTCCACACTCTCTTTCCTAATCACTCTTACATTATTCCCCCATTCTCCCCAACCAATGTGGATGCTCTAAGGATTACAAACCTCATTATTCTTTTACGAGTTTTGATAATAATGTTATTTTACATGTTGAAAACAAATTAAATTCATTGTAAAATATTTATGAAAATATATAATATAATCAGATGATAAATTGCCTAATAGATTTGAAATATTGTGCATTTTAGTGTAAGGTAAATAAACACTTTGTAATTCGACCAGGAGTGATGATGACAATGAAAACAGAAAACACATGTAATGTGACAATAAATGACGAAATTCCCCATAACTCTTGGAAAAAAAAAAAAAAAAAAAGAGGAGACATGCAATAATTAGGCAGCCAGGTTTCACCTGAGGACACAAACACTCATAACTTTTACTGTATTTTTTTAGCGAATAGTTCGAATTATTTAAGAATTCTTAATTATAGCTCAATTAATCATGTAGTCTAAAATAAGATCCAATTTAATACACACACTTTCTAAAATTCTTGTATTTACTATTTTTTCTAAGTTCTATCGGATTTTGATGACATGACGTTTGATTAAGCTGATGTGATTGACAAAATAAAATAAAAAATGTTTTTGACATGGTGTCCATGATCATGGACATGTTTCAAATTCGATAATACCAAATGTTTGTAATGCAATGTTTTTACTGTAAAAAAAAAAAAAAAAAGAAAAAAAAAAGAAGAGTAAAGTGTATGTATTGCAATGTTTAAGAAGACGAAGCTAATGAAAGAAGTCAAAGATGAAGTATATAGTGATAGGGTTTGCTTGACTTTAATTTATAGTATTAATAAATTTATGTTAACAACCTTTTATTTAATTAAATTTCCATATCATTTTTATATGAACTGACAATCTAATGTAACTTGAAAAAAATGATAAATGCAAGATTTCTAGGAAGCTTGTGTATCAAATTGAATCTTATTTTAGATTATTACAGGGTTAAGCACTTGTGAATAGTGGTTGAGTTTTTTTGTTTTTTATTTTTATTTTTATTTTTATTTTAATACTACTGACTCTATTACAATGTAATATCTATTCATACATACTTTCATTTGAGAAGCTAACCGAGCACAAGGGTGACAATAGTGGTTGAGCCTATTTATTGACTTATTAAAAAATATATTTTTTAAAAAAAATATATAATGTGGTAGGAAACAGTTAAAATTCGTTAAAAAGGCAAAAAGCACTGGTCACCATTTCTCGATTGTATATGTAAGCATGTCGTGAGGTTTCGGAGGCTGGTGCTACCAGTAAGAATAATATGGTCGAGACTTGAGACATGACGACCTTCCAGAAGCTTCCCCCTAACACCTGGCTGTAAATCGCCAAATCATCTGATGGTTAGAAACGCACCACGTCGGCTGCCAACCACGTGAGCATCCGACGTGGCACCCCTCTTTGGCAGGAAAATGATACGCCCCCCTTTTTTAATGCTTTACGATACTTTTCCGAATTTTCTCACAACGCCAAAACCAAAAAAAATTAAAAATTAATAAAAAAACTCAAAACGCTCACAGCACTCTCTCTTTCGCTTCCACAAACGCAAACACTCCAAGGAAACTTTTCAAAGCTCACAACTTTATTGGTTTTATTTTTTCTCATTTTTTTTTCTTCTGTGTGTTTCGGGGAGGAGATTTGCTCGGAATGAATGGGAATGGCGAGGGGAGTGGCGTGGAGATGGAGAGAGTAGTGTATATGTGGGGGTATTTGCCGGGGGCTTTACAGAAACGGTCGCCGTTACTCTCGCCGGTGGTGGTGAAACTGCCGCCGTCGTCTGTTGGGGCCGGCACTTCATGGAAGGACGTTTCCGGCGGGGGTTGTGGCTTTGCCATGGCCATTTCAGGTAACTGTATTCTTTTTTCTCAAAGCTTCCTCTGCCATTTTCGCTGAATTGTTCTTCGACTGTATTTTATGAAGACAGAATCCGTTAGTCTTTTGTGCATTTGCGAATGGACTTTCTCTTCTTCTTTGGTTGAAGTCTCACTGTTTCATTTTCAGAGCGAGTGGCAGTAGGAAAGCTTGGAATCAATTATAGTTTAATTTGAAGGAAAAGGCTTGTAGCATATAAACCCTAAATTATTCCTTTAGAAAAAAAAAAAAAAAAAAAAAAAAAAAACTATTCTATAATATCAGGAGTTCTACTGTTTGAATTATGGTTTATGAAGTGCTGTAATCTGTATAAACTAAATCATGATATTTTTATCATATTGTGCAGTTTGTATATATGCTTTTGTATTATGCACTTATGCTGTTTGTATATATGGTTTAATTAGACTCTGGAAAGCTTATTACCTGGGGTTCAGCAGATGATTTGGGTCAAAGCTATATAACGTCAGGGAAGCATGGGGTAAGGGGCTGTAAGGCGGTATTTTGATTAAAAGTGTTATTGTATTCTTTAATTCTGTGCCAAACTAAGTTGCATTTTGTTGGAATTGATTTTTGTAAGGAAACGCCAGAGCCTTTTCCCCTTCCTGATGGAGTTTCAATAGCAAAAGCTTCTGCAGGTTGGGCTCATTGTGTTGTTGTTACAGGTACTCCGGACAGTTTTGACCCTACCACTGAAAATTGATTGGCAAAATGATTCAAAATTTAATACTCTGTACTTTAGAGATGGTTTAATGATGGCCTTTTACTGTTCGTTTTGCTTAATGGCTAAAATCTTTCCACTACAACGTCTATTCTGTTTGTCAAGTCAGTTTTATGTTTTAATGCCGTTAAATGTGTCCTCTTCATGCTATTGAGCCTCATCACCTCCTTTTATTCAATCATACCACTGAAGAAGACTGAAAGAATCAATCTCAAATGCAGAGAATGGAGAGGTTTTCACGTGGGGATGGAAAGAGTGCATCCCTTCTGGAAAGGTTATTGGGGATCCATCTGTGGGATTAAACATTGAGAACAGTGAAACTGAAAAACAGACTATGCTCTTTACAGAACAAGGTACTTTGCAATTTTGCATTGTATTTAGAATCAGCAAGATGCAGTTTCCCATTTGCTTTTTACGATGTAACATGCTGAAGGTTTACATTATCACAGTAAGCCCTCGCTTCCAGGGGTCAGGATCAGCTGCTGGTGCTGTGTCTGTTAGCAGAGGTGTAGAAGATGGTGCAAAAAGAAGACGCGTATCATCATCTAGACAAGCAGCAGAGAGCTCTTCGTCAAACGATGAAAGTCTTTCTGCACTTCCATGTTTGGTCACATTGAACCCAGGAGTAAGAGTTGTTAGTGTTGCAGCTGGTGGCAGGCACACACTCGCCCTGTCAGGTGAATTCCTCATATTTTGGACTGTGGATAATGCCTAGATCTATGGATCATAAGCACTGTGGATTTCTAATGATGTTAATAATTTCAAGCTATTTAAAGCAAAAAACTTGATTTATCTTTTTCCGCGAAGTTCCAGATATAGGACAAGTCTGGGGTTGGGGGTATGGAGGTGAAGGGCAGCTTGGCTTAGGGTCCCGCATTCGCATGGTATCTTCTCCACACCCCATTCCTTGCATCAGCTCCTCTCCCATGGCAAAGGATAGAGTTGTGGGTGTTTCTCATGGAAGCATGGGTTCAGAGGGACAAGGACATATAGCTCCGGGGAGTTATGTGAAAGCAATTGCCTGTGGCGGTCGCCATAGTGCCGTTGTAACAGGTATCTTCTAATAGTAATTGGGATGTATCATTTCCTTTTAATTTCTTCGTTGGTTTATCATTCCCCGCTCTTTGAATGGTCTACTCTGTATACCATTGTGTAAATGCCCTGTCATAAGGTACTGTTACATTGCTATAAAGCTATTTCAACAAAACCTTTTCTTCTACCAATTTGTTTGCAGATGCTGGAGCACTACTTACTTTTGGTTGGGGACTCTACGGACAGGTGAATCTCTTCGGACTAATTAATTGCTTAATAAAACTAACCAACTCTAAATTCTTCTGCATTAAACAGAGTATGTACAATTTTTCAAATATCTGTGGTTTGTAATAATTGTTTCAGTGAGTATAAACATTTATGCCCATGTCATCAAGATGTTAATATAATTGTATTACTAATTTGTGCTTTCACATCCAGTATGATGTCAATGTATTTTGTACTTGTTGATTCTGCTCTATTAAGACATTAAATAAAGTTGTGTTGCCATATCTGTAGTGTGGCCAAGGAAGTACTGATGATGAGCTAAGTCCTGCGTGTGTATCTTCGTTACTTGGAATCAGGATTAAAAGTGTTGCGGCTGGACTATGGCACACACTATGCATTTCTGCTGACGGTGATGTATATGCATTTGGTGGCAACCAATTTGGACAGTTAGGAACGGGAGGGGATCAAGCAGAGGTATATATACACACCGAATTCTATCCTTCGGATATTGTTTAGCATAGTTTAATGTAAAAGACAATTTATCCTTTGGTAATGAAGCGCTTTCTTGCAACCATTCAACTATAGATCTTTTATTGTGAACGTTGAACATGTGAACGACAAATGGATCATAGCACAAGTAATTAAGGTTGAAGACCGCCTAACCTTTTCTTTCCCTTTTTTACATGGCAGACTCTTCCCCGGCTTCTTGATGCTCCTAGTTTGGAAAACGTGAATGCAAAAGTCGTATCATGTGGAGCACGCCACAGCGCTATAGTTACAGGTACGTTAACTATTTTCTCCGGGACACACTGAAAATATTGCTGTAGTAGTATGCCACGGTATGGAGGTTATGTTTAACAAATGCTGATTTAGATTATGCAGTTGCCATAATTGGCTACATTTATCTAATGCACGCCTAACTACTTTTTTCCGTTTGATTTTCCTTTCTTACGTTTCTGAAGAGGACAGCAAAGTGTTCTGCTGGGGCTGGAACAAGTATGGCCAGGTACTCTCTGCAAACATTTTCCACAACCAACATACAGTCAAGTTATTTGCCTGAATACTAAAGATTATTTACGCGATTTGCAGCTCGGTTTGGGCGATGTAATAGATCGCAACATTCCCACACAAATGTCAATCGATGGATGTGTCCCGAAAAAGGTGTCATGTGGATGGTGGCACACCCTTCTACTAGCAGAATCACCCACATGAATGCCCTTCAATCTCCTGAGTGATCCAGGCACAGTTTTGCTAGGTTAGCAGTTAAGTCATATATATACATATGTGTGTGTGTTCATGTACATAAAATAGCTTGTATACATTATGGCAAAAATATAAGCGTCAAAATCCAATGAGTAAGCCACTCTATCCAACCACACCATCAAGAAATGTGTTCCTATTGTTGTGTGGAAGATTAGAAGGTATATGATTGTAGCCTACCGTGTATTGGCCTCGGGTTTATAGTGTGGTACAATCTCACATCGACTCCTTTAGGAATGGAGAAGTGGTACTTAAAGTTAAAGTCTCGGATTAAGTGTCTATATTAGTGTATGAATATGTTACTGCAAATCTGGTATAGTGTTTAGGTTGAACTCAAGACTTTGAAAGTGTTGCCAACTTCAACCTCATTATATATATATACACTTGCATACTTATGTTCAAACGTGTATATAAGTTAATCAGGGGCAGATCAAGCCTTCTAGATTGGTGGATGTTTGGCTGCCAAGTTTGACTATATGGACTGATGCATGTATTTAATTATAGACTATTAAGAATTGGAATAAAGGTGATAATGTGAGATATAGGCAGAAGCTTCTGATATTGACGAAAATATGAATTTTTTTATATTACATGTAGAATTATTGTAAGGGGACTCACGGGGCAACATTATTGTATTATCCTTTCAAAGCAAATATTTAATGTTTTTAAGTTTATGATTGCTATCCTATTGTCGTCCCAACTAACCCAACCAACCACTGCATGTTCAGAGAGACAGAGAGTCACATGGCTGCTACGATTTTTATTTGTGTTTGTCAACCCTCGCCATTAAAGATGAAAGTTGACCATCCTTAAAGTACCTATGCGGCTATACCCCGGCCTGTTTTTACAACTCTACATTGAATTATCGTAATTTGCATTTTCCTTTATACTCTGTCAAGTCAAAAGGTTAAAGATTCTTAAAATTGAAGATTTAACTTTTGTGAAAAAAATTTAACCGTCAAATGTATCAAGGACACATCCCAAAATGATCATTGTTTACATGCGATATCGTACGATACACAAAAATTTCTTACATCTCAAAATATATTACAAGGTAAGTAGGGTAGAAGCACACAAAAGTCAAAGATAATAACTTAAAGAACCTTCCATATATATTGTCCAGTTGTCGCCGCTTGTTTGGTATTTATCTACTAAATGAAGCAAAATAATATTTTTGTTTTGACTAAAAAAAGGGGAAAAAAGAATTATTTTTCCAATCTCAATGTGCAGAAAATTCAATGCAATGTATTTAATACTTCACATGTTTTGTGCCTAAAGAAAACTTCACATTGATTTTTTTTTTTTTTATTGTACTCAAGGTTTCTACACTTTAGAAGTCAATCTTTCCTCTTTAAAAAAAAGGGAAAATGGCACTTTTTTCCCCTGTGTTATATACTTATAGCACTTTTTTCTCCTATATTATTTAAGTGGCAATTTCCCCCCCTGATATATTAAATGGACATATTTATCCTTAAAATAAATATTTTCTTTATTTTACTTCTCCAACAAATTATAACCACAATTTGAAAAAATAAAATACATTAATTGTTGAATTTAGAATACTTTAAAAATAAAAAAATAAAATTTTAAAATAATGTTTGAACCAACAGTTCAAATTGGATCCGAAATTGTGAAACAACGATTCAAAATAAAAACCAAATCGCGATTATATATACTTATATGTGAGAGTCAATATAAATGCGAAAAAAACATACACTATTTGCAAATATTATAATTCTAATTTTAAGCTATTGCTAGTAGTTGTTCCGATTTGAACCTCTGGTTCACGGTTCAGAATCTATTTTTTTCCACTTCACAATTTTAATAAACGGAAACCCAAATATTGGGTTATGTTATGAATCATAACCGAATTTTTTTTTATTTGATTGCTATAGTGTTCGGTTCAGTTCGAACCGAACTGTGGCCATCCCTACGTATAAACAATAATTTGTTGAACAAGAGAAATAAATAAAATATGTATTTAAGGGTAAAAATGTCTATTTAATATTATCAGGGGGAAAAACCGCCACTTTTATAATAATTGAGGGGGCAAATGTGGATGCATGAATAACTCAGGAGGAAAAAGTGCTATAAACATATAACACAGGGGAAAAAGTGTCATTTTCCCAAAAAAAAAAAAAAGAAGTCAATCTTTCATTTCTCTTTTGAGATAAACATCCTGAGAAACTGTTCTTCTTTTGACCTATAATTCCTATAAATAGAAGAATCAGTGGCTTCTCGGCGTATTTTTCCGGTTCCCTTAGCTCCAAAATGACAGCGGCTTATACCTCTCTACTGCGGCGGCGCCACCTCTTTGTTGCGTTGCTGCTGCTATCATGCTCGGGGAGCGCACTCTCTGCTCGGAGGTGCGCCGACTGCGGCTCTTCTCCGGTGCCGTACCCACTCAGCACCGGCCCCGACTGCGGCGATCCCTCGTACAAGGTTCGATGCAATAATGGTGGCCTAGTGTTTGATACGCTCAATAATACGTATCCGATAACCTCCATTACCCCGGAATCTCAGCGGCTGACGATCGCGCCGTCGTCCTTTGTTCCCGGCGCCTGCGTCACCGACGATATCTCCACCGGCGGCGTCCTGCTTAACTCATCGTTGCCGTTCAACATCACCAGCAGCAACACCATTCTGTACCTTAACTGTACGGTAGATCTGCTGAACTCGCCCCTCAACTGCACCGCCTCCAGCCTCTGCCATACCTATATAACTAGCAGCCTGGGCGGCGGCGCGTGCTCCAACGCGCCGATTTGCTGCACTTTCCGAGCCGGCGGGTCGTCGACGTCGGACAAGATGCGGGTCCGGAGTTCGGGTTGCAGCGCGTACCGGAGCTTTGTAAACCTGGATGATTCTTTGCCGGTGAGCCGGTGGCCGCAACCGGCAATGGAATTGCAGTGGGTGTCGCCGCCGGAGCCTCTGTGTCGCTCCCAATCTGATTGTGATTCCGATTCGACTTGCGGAACGGACGGGAATTCGGGTGGCGGCGTCAGCAGATGTTTCTGTAACTCAGGGTTACACTGGGACCCCATTGTTGGATCTTGTGTTCGCAGTAAAGATTCAATCTTTAACATAGTAAAGTTCCTTAAAATCTCCGAAACCTTTCAATTTTCTATCTAATCTAACATGATATAATCCTTAAATTTGTTCAGATGTATGCCAGGATGGTTGTGGAAGTGATAAAACTGCCCTTATAGCAGGTACATATCTAACTATTAGTATAAGATTTTAGTTGCCCAATGCCCACACAAGCATAAGCGGTAGATTGTGGCAAGAACATAGGATCGAGTCTTTCGAAAATTACACCTAATGTGTAGTGAACTCTTTGTGGGCACCCGATACTGGTCACCTGATTTACCTCTTCATTATCCTATCGGGAAGTCTTGACATAATTGGGGATTCTTGATTCTTGATTCTTGCAGGATTAACATCAGGTTTGGGGGTGGCACTGGTAGCTGCAGTGATAGGATTCTTGGTGTACAAGCGATATCAGCGCATCAGGGAGGCGCGAGAGCGGCTAGCTAGCGAGCGTGAGGCCATACTCAATGCGGGTGGTGTCAAGACTGCAAAGCTTTTTAGCGGGACGGAGATCAAGAGGGCGACGAATAACTTTTCTCGAGACAGGCTGCTTGGTGTGGGTGGATATGGTGAAGTGTACAAAGGAGTTCTTGATGATGGAAGAGTGGTTGCTGTGAAATGTGCCAAACTGGGCAACACTAAGGGCACTGACCAAGTTTTGAATGAGGTGAGAATATTGTGTCAAGTGAACCACAAGAGCCTCGTGCGCCTTCTCGGCTGTTGTGTCGAGCTCGAGCAGCCATTGATGGTGTACGAGTACATCCCGAATGGAACTCTACTCGACCATCTAAAGGGCGATGATAAGCGCAAGCATCTAGCATGGAGCCACCGGCTCAACATTGCACAGGCGACCGCAGAGGGGCTGGCTTACCTCCATTTCTCCGCGGTTCCTCCAATCTACCATCGCGATGTCAAGTCCAGCAACATTTTGTTGGACGAGAAGTTAAACGCTAAGGTCTCGGATTTCGGTCTCTCGCGTCTCGCTCACACGGACATGAGCCACATATCGACTTGCGCCCAGGGCACCTTAGGGTATCTTGATCCCGAGTACTACAGGAACTATCAGCTCACCGACAAGAGTGATGTCTACAGCTTCGGGGTCGTGCTGCTAGAGCTCCTGACGTCCCAGAAAGCAATAGACTTTAACAGAGACCAAGACGACGTAAACTTGGCAGTTTACGTGCAAAGGCTGGTCGAGGAGGAAAGAATAATGGACGCTGTAGATCCCGTGTTGAAGGAAGGCGCAAGCAACTTGGAGCTGGAGACTATGAAGGCACTAGGGTTCCTGGCAACCGGGTGCTTGGAGGAGCGCCGACAAAACAGGCCTTCCATGAAAGAAGTGGTCGAGGAAATCGAGTATATAATTAGTATAGCAATGGCAAAGGATGAGAAGTAAGCAGCAATGCAGAAATTAAAGTATTTAGGATTGTGTGTTTGTATGTGTGTTTTGCTTTGTTTCCCAACCCGACATACTATTTCCTAGTTGATCAGATGTTACTGTCTTTTTTAGTACTACTGACTCTGTTACAATGCAGTATCTGTTCATAACGACTTTCTCAAAGTACTGAAGCACAAAGAGTCAATACCGCCTCCACTGAAGCTCGAACCCACTACTTGATCTCTAATTTACATCAAACACAGCATATTGGAGACAGATCAGATATAGCGATGTGAATCGTGTGTTGTTAGAAGGTTGAATGTTTGTTATTCGGATACTGTCAAAATCGAGCATATTCACAGATAGAAAGCTGCAGCGAGGTTGCAGCCCCGAGTGGCCTAAAACCAGCTCATCTAACTCGAGGCTGCAAGACAAAACGTGACAAGAGAAGAGATAGCGAGAAAAAACCAGGATACAAAAGCCAATGCAATCGAAATCTGGAACATGTTGCAGGAGATATTGGCCTGGGATCTGCAGAAAGTCGTGTCCCTAGCGAGCAGAACCATCACGCCAGCCGATGAGCACGCAGCGCCAAGGGATAGCATCGCTGTCACCTGCATTACATACAATCAGAAATCCCGCAACCAAGATCTGATCTTTTTGTAAGAAAAACAGCATTCGTTCGTTTATCACCCACAAGTCGCGTAAATTAAAAGTGAAGGAGCAGAGAAAGGTACCCAATCGCCAACAGCAGACAGGCTCATGAAGATATGATTACACGGATCTCTCTTAACCCTCAGGGCATGAATATCATTGCAGGCGAGTATAAAACTCCATATAACTTGAAGCCCCATCGAAGCAATCAAATAGCTGAACCAGGAGACACGCACTAATGAGCTTAAACAAATAGCAAGTGCAGTCACAATCGCGAGCATTACAAAAGTAACAAGCATCAATATATATATATGCAGCTTGAAACTTTACTAAAACCCCAACACCGAAAGAAAGCTCAAAACCACACTAAACATTACCATCAGGACTAAAAGGACAAACCGATAAAAGTTCCCAAGCAAAACAACTTTGCTACAATTTCAAGAAAGTAAAAAGTTTGATTCTTTTGCACTAACCAATCGCGAGGACCCGACTACCTTAAGACCATTTCTTGAAAACGTGATATGCAACCGGTTTGATCAATTGAGCTAGTTCAGTTCACCTAATCCAACAAGCTCAAAGGTCCAAAGCAATACTCTCTTGCAGTTCAAATAGCTTTACAGAACCTATTCCACTTACAGAGTATATTATATAATGTCCATTGTAAAACTTTCTTTCCAACCTCAGCCTGCCATTCAACTCTATTTAGAGACTAATCTTCTCCAACAAAGGATAAAGAATGAAAAGCATCCACATTCATTACCATGCTAATTTCCATTCAAATGCAGTGAAAAGAATATTCATATAAAAATAAAAATAAAAAGATTCTGGGTAAAATGAAAAAGACAATAATAAAGAAAGGTACCAGAAAGCAGTGGCAATAGAAAATCCAGAAGCAGAAGCCATAACTCCAAGTGAAGCAGCTGCAAACCCACACTGCCCTATTCTCAGAACCAGTCCACTTGCCTTTCCTGGCCTTCCAAACATCACCTTCATCTCTTCTCTCTCTTATATGTGTATCAAAATTGAATCTTTCTTCAAAGGGTACTTTGAACAAGGAAGAATGACAAAGAATGTTTCTTCAGATCTTCCAATGCTGCTGCTATTGGGATTCTACAACAGACGTAGATTATAGTAAACCCTAAAGTAAAATGGGAAGAAATCGAAAAAGTTGTCTTCTTTTATGGTGTTTTAGGAGTATACTTCAGCTTGTTGATTGATTATTTATGGAAAGAAAACTCTTTTTTTTTATTATTATTATTACACATTACACATTAGGATTAGATAAATGTCGCTAATTATCTTATCTGGATCACGTTTGGGCCGTGGCAAGCCCAATATTGAGGGACCAGTGGACGTCTATGGAGTCGCGGACACCTGATAAAATCTCAAAAACCCAGCATCATAAACACCTTATAAAATCCTAAAACCCTACAAGAAGGTTATACTATACTCTTCGCTGCGTTTCATCTCTCTTCTAAAACCCTAAAAATGGCGTTCAGCAATATCGTCAGAAGAACGGCTGTGCAAATCGCGCCTGTCGCCGCTCGATTCATTGGAAGAGTTCAGAGGTATCACCACCACTGCTCTTCTTCCCTCTTCTCCTCCGCCGCCGCCAATCGCGTGGGTGTTTCTGGAAGCTTTTTCCGGCGCGCAGTCCCTTCTGGATTACACCACTTCTCCACGAAATCTGATGAGGCCCTTCTCAAAGTCATCGAGTCCGAGATCGGATGCGCCGTAGAAACCGAAGGAATTGACAAGGTTTCACATCCCTCTACTTTTTCCCTTTCTTTTTCATTTTTTCTAGTTCATTAATGGTTGTTCATGTTGAAGTTGTTCTGAAAGTTTTGAGCTTTGGTACTTAGTTCAAGAATTGATTATTCTGGAGGCTCAATTTGCATATATATGTTTATATTTATTTGTTCTAGTTTCAGAATAGGATTGTTCTTGGCTCACTTTGTTGACTTGGTAATTGCAAGTTTGCAAAGTTCCACTTGTTACTAAAAAAAGAATAGGATTGTTCTAGTTCAAAGATTGAATTTTTTTGGTCCATTGTTGTTTTTAGCTTGTGAATTGAGCATCCATGAAGTTTCCATGACTTTGTTTGTGATTCAGGTTGAGGATGTTCCTGCTGGTTTTCCATTTAAAATTGAAGATAATCCTGGATATCAGACCATAACACTGACAAGAGAGTATCAAGGTGAAACCATCTGTGTAGAAGTGCACATGCCTGACCTTGTTACTGGTGAAGAGAATCAGGAAGGAGCATCCGGGGACGAGGACACCGAACAGGGCAATGAGTCCCAAATTCCTCTTGTTGTAAGAGTTTCCAAGAAGAATGGACCTGCACTGGAGTTTGGCTGCACTGCTTATCCTGATGAGATTTCCATAGATAGCTTGTCAATTAGGGATCCCAATAGTGCAGAGGAACAAATTGCATATGAAGGCCCTGATTTCGCGTGAGTTTGTTTATTTTTGCTGTGATTAACCCCGTTTCGTTTGCATTCACACTAATGCCATCTATCTCTCTTTTGCTTTTAGGGATTTGGATGAGAATCTTCAGAAAGCTTTCCACAAGTATCTCGAGATCAGGGGCATCAAGCCGAGCACGACCAACTTTTTGCATGAGTACATGATAAACAAGGATGGGAGGGAGTACTTGATGTGGCTTAAAAACCTCAAGAAATTCATTGAGGCTTGATTGATAGATAGTTAGATGTTTGCTTACCTCTTCTGAAGGTGTAGTGAGGGCTTTTACTATGTTGTTTTTTGCCTGACAATACACTGTTAATGTTGGTTTTAATGGAAGATATGATACTATTAGTGGAAACTATTTGTGTTGGGTAGAAATTGGTACAATTTTATCATTCTATGTAACATTGTAGCCCAGAAGAGTCAAATTGTCGGCTATGGAAGTCTTTTACTTGTTCGTACCATGAATAAAGGTTTTGATGAGTGTTTGTCAATGAAAGTCATACTGTGGACAAGTATTTACTCGCTGATCTTACAACAATAGCCAATATCATATCCTGGTGATAGTTATTTCTCCATGATCATTTATAAATATCAATGTATGAAAATAGGAAGAAATGACTATGTATTAGTTCTCACTTTGAGTAAGTCTTGTGTAAGAATCTTATTTTCTCACTTCAAATATCATTTTTTTTTTTTTAGGTTGTTTGGTTACCATTCAAAGCAATTACATTTTTTTCTATTTTCTCACTTCAAATATCATTTTTTTTTAGATAATTTGGTTACCATTCAAAACAATTACATCTTTTTTCTTTTAACCTTCGTTTTACTTGTCTTTTCGGTTAGAAATGGCCGCCATATATTTCTTTTGTCTTTTTTTTCTTTTAATCATGTCTATGACAACTCAAGATTTTTAAAAATATAAATAAATGAAAGAATATAAAAGAAATTAAAAATAAAGTTGATGACATCTCAAGAAACACTTAAATTCCAAGATTTCGTTGCTAATCTTGCAATGGGTTAAGACTAGAGTGCCATACACGTAGAAGCATCCTTGGGGACATTTGTTGTTGCTGTGGAAAGATCAAACTTTATGAGTAATTAGAAATATTTTAATGAGTTGTTTAAGTTATATATATTTCTCCTTATTCTACTTTCTACTTTCTTAAAAAAAAACCCAAAACCATTACTCAATAGTATAAACTAAGTCAATGGCTGCTGTTGAGGAAAAGAACTCATAGTTGACAGCCATATGGAAGTGCAACTGATTTGGACAAAAGGGAGAAACAAATGAAAATGAAATATGAACCCTACTACCAATAATATAATAATATATTGTCATATTAAGCGTTTAGAAGCCTAAAGACTAGTTAAGGCCCATTCACAATTTGCCTCCTTCAGTGAACTTAAAGTCATAAATAAACCAAAAGATTTATTGCCTTAATAAAACTAGTTAAAACCCCTGGCTGCCTGGCAATATCTGTATGGGAGGAAGAAAACAAACGCCAATGTTTATTGACATACTACATTACATACTGTAAAACCTTACTCCTACTCAATAGTGTTTTGCTTATCATCGTCATGGTAACCTAAACCCTAAATAAACATACACATCCCATTGGCTGCTGCAAGGCTTCTCCTCACAACTCTTCTTCTGTCATGGATATGCACTATCGACTTCCAGGCAAATAATTTCCAGAAGACAAGCCAATCCATGCATAGTTGCTTTACAACCTCTCACCCTCCAAACTCCAAACTCCAAACTTAACTAAGCTCCTTGTGAGTGTAGTCGATTCCTTTATCACCATTCACCACATGCCCTTTTCCCTTTCCAAGCCTGCCATAAATAATAATAACAATCATAATTCCAATTTTGGTAAATTATTCAACTGTGGGTAAATTCGGCTTCAAAATTTTATGCATGCAATTTGGAAAATAATACTCCGTACCAGACTAGTTATTGTGTAAAGTTAATCAAATCTTGATTCAAAAGAAATATTATATATCAACAATACCATCGAGTTGT